CTCCCTTCAGTCCCACTTGGCTGAAAACTTAACTTAAATATCTATACTATGTAACAGTCTATTGATAGTATTTTTGTACTACCGAATATAGAAATATGTAATGTAAGGAAATACTGTAATATCTACTAATAGTACATTAGGCTGAGATTTTCAGTAAGACCAGAGTGGCTGTGGCCTGCTGGAGCATACAGTCATATGCAAAGGTTTGAACACTCCTGGTGAAATTATATGTTTTGTTGATTTTTAAAGTGAAAATAAGTTAACACATCCCTTACAGGGAATAAATGTGAATATACCATTTTTCTGCACATTTTAGGGCTCAATGTCTGTTTATTTGCCAAATTGAACATATTAGGGAAAGCAAGAGAAAATATGCACAGGCCACATTTTGTTTTTTTTCCAATACATTAAATTCAGCAAATAAACAGAAATTGTGCATTAATATGTGCAGAAGTATGTTCTCTGTAGAGGATGTGTTAACTTTTCACTTCAACAAAATGTCATTTGATTAAGGGTGCCCAAACTTTGGCATATAACATTATATCTGTACTGCACATTCTGTTAATTGGATTCTATATATTTTATGTAGAATACTACATATTTACACTGCATATTTGTAATGTATAGAAACTACTAGTGCACTAGTCTGTACTTGTATTTTATCGTTATGATCAGTTACATCACAAAACACTTTCTTGAGTATATAGTGGTTATTGTCAGTACTTAGCTTAATTAGCCTCGGTTCATCGGATGTGCAGTGAAACATTAAATAAATATCATTGTACTCAGCTTTTGATACTGGCACTAGAAAGTGCTTTTTCAGTCCATTCCAACTTCTAGTGCATATGAATATACCAGAGGTCACCAGTCTTATCCACAGCCAGCCAGTGTGGCTGCAAATTTTAATTCCAGTCTAGCAGAAGCACACCTGATTCCAGCTGTTAATCGGTTGGCCTCAGTCTTTAAACAGTTGATTAGTTATGCAAAGAGTGTTCCTACTTAGTAGGAATGAAAACCTGCAGCCACACTGGGCCTTTGCAGATAAGATTTGATGACCCCTGATCTGTGCTGTATATTATGCTATGTTGCATGCATTAATAATGCGTTAATAGCAATCTATATTCTACCCTGTACAGAACATATATTAATTATATATAGAGATGCACTAATAATTAATAATGTACATAAAATGTGCATTAGGGATGTTTAGTGAAGTAGCAGAGCTCCAGTCTAATAGAGTGTGCATCTGTACTGCATACTACATATTCTATTTTTATTGTGTTGTAGTATATGGGAACATGTTAGTAGTAATAATAGTACTAATAGTAATAATCATCATGATATATATATATATATATATATATATATATATATATATATATATAAATATATAAATAAATATATATATATATATATATAAAATATATATATATATATATATATAAAATATGTATTACATTTACATTAAGAAGTAGAAGAAATAGAACACACATATATATATATATATATATATATATATATATATATATATATATATATATATATATATATACACAAACATATATACTACTATAAATGACAACAGTATAAATAAATAAATAAATAAATCTAAATGATAAGATAATGAAATGGGGCAGCAAGAAATTGTAGCACATAACAAAAACATTAAAAGTCTTAAAATAAGCAACATAAAATAATCCAAAAAAGTCAAACTACAATAATCTAAAGATCAGTATGTATGTACTTACAGTGCTTAGATTGACATGTTCAGTAAGGCAGAGTGACTCCACCCTATTAATGGTCAAGCTCACTGTATTATGCATGGGGTTCACTGACCACACTTTTCTGTAATTCCTCCACTGTGTTTGTTCTACATGAGTCTTCTGGCCCTCCGTGTATAAAACTGCTTTTCTGTTTTTCTGCTCAATGTAAATGAGCTCCCTCCATCTATCACGCTCAGGATTTTTCACACATCCAGTTTGAGCTCTGTTTCAACAAGTGATTTCAAATCATTTGTTTTTCTCAATTGGAAAAAATAAAGTTATTTGATTGAAGACTTGCCTGCATCCCTGCAGCTCTGTTATTTTCCAGAAAACTGTTGAGAGACTGCAGAGTCAATAGTTCTCTCTGCTGAAGTTTTTCTGCCACCTGACGAGACTTTAGATCAGATCCAACCGTGAAGCTTTTCCCTATTTAACAGCGCGTAGGCCTTTGAGCTTCTGTGCAGCTTCTGGCAGCCTAAACTCTACTGTTCTGCAACAGCTATTAGAACCGTGCATCAGCAGAATTGTCTGCATACCATATTTTGAAGAACAGCTCTGTACAAAAGTTTGGGCACCCCTGGTCAAATTACATTTATACTTTTGCACTCTGTATTGCACAGTTAATGTTTATTTGCTGAATGTAACATTTTGGAAAAATCTAATAAAATTAAAATGGTGGCCGGTGCAAAAGTAATGACACATTTTATATTTCGTTTTATTCTTTTTCAACATGTTGAACTTAATGAAAATAAATAGATATTGTGGACTAACATTTACAGAAAAACAACATATTTAACTTTGTTTTTTGTAGAGGATGATCACTTATCTTTGCTTAGAAAATCAACAAAACATGTCATTTGACCAGAGGTTTAGCTGTGTGTAGCACACTAAATGTCCAAAAGTATTCAGATACCTATTCTAATGAGTGGGTTCAGCTAATTTAAGGTGCACTCATTGCTGGCACAGGTGTTCAATTGTGCAAAAACAAAGCTTGTATGATCTCCATAGAAAACCATTGCCAGAATGGCACAGTCTGGAGTTGCCACACATGAGCCTCAGATCTCCATGTCCAGCACCAATTATTGGCTAGTGGAGTATAAAGCCTCCCAGCATTGAGAGAGCAGTGAAATTGCATTCTCTGGAGTGTTTGAGCTCCATCCAGTACCTTTGGGATGTGTTAGAGTGGCATTTGTGAACCAGAACTGAACATCCAATATCAGTACCTGACCTCATTTATGCTCATATGGCTAAATGCAATCAAATCCTCACAGCGATGTTCTAACATCTAGTGTAAAGCCTTTCCACAAGTGTAGAGGCTGTTACAGCAGTAAAGAGGAACAGACTCCCTGTTAATGTGCTTGATTTCAGAAGAAACGTTGAATGAAAAGGTGTCTACAAACCTTTGAGTATATAGTGTGTATAATTTTCCCTCTTTTCATGTGAGTAGACATTCATCCCTCTCAGTTTCAGTGTGTGTGTGTGTGAGTAGAGGATTCTGCTCTTTTCGTCACCTGCTTTGAACTTCTCCACGCTCCAGCCGCTCACTTATGCAAATTAGCAGCAGACGGGCTCTTTGTGCTGGCATGCAGAATCGCATCAGATTTCCGGCGTTCACGCCTGTTTGTTTGTAATCAGAAACGTGTGTTTATTTAAGCTGAATTCCTGTTCCTCCCTCCACCCCTAAACGCAGCACTGCTGGATTGATTGCATCACAGCATTCAGCAATCAGATTACACATTGGAGGTAGTGTAATTGCAGGTTTAGCTGATTAATATGGCTAATGTAATGAGAGAGAGGGAGAGAAAGTGCTCTGTGCACCTGCAGCCTTAATGGATTCTTCACACTGGATGTAAGAAAAGCTTCAATGTAGGACTGCATGTATGCTTAGCGCTGCTTTGGTCAATGCAAAGCCTCATAGACCTGGCTTGTAAATCACTCACTCACATTTATCAGGCTGACGATTCTCCACAAGGGGGCGCTATTAGCACTCCAGTAAGTTGTGGTGCTTTGCAAGAGCAGTGCTTTGCATCATTATCCTTGTTTTATGTTGTAATTTTTCTTCTACTCCTGTTTTAAAGGGGAATTCCACAGATTGTTCAAAATTTCTGCATACTGAAATCATTAGGATATAAATAAAGTAATTCAGTAAGCTTTGATGTGAAGTGTGCCATTCTAGAGAAATTTACAGAACTAAGTCAGTGTTGACAGTGGTGATTCCAGGCATCTGAGGAGTTCATTGCCTCATGATATGACATGGTAATAAATACATTGCATGATGCCTCATAATAGGCTTGGGCAGTATCTGTTGGCCATGCCAATGAGCAAATAAGCTGCCGTAGACGCTTTAACGATGCAACTGTGAGCATCACGTAGACGTCTTGGCAACGTGTCTGTGCTGTGTGGTTAGACGTATGCTTCAGGATTGCTGTTTGCTTTTAAAATTGGCATTGCTAGACTGCAGGGGGAGGAATTAGACTCGGACTGGTCTGAAATGGAGTCCGTCTAAAATGTAAGCCTTTTTCTTTTAAGGTTCTAAACAGTAATAACAACACCTATATATAGTGCCTTCTCAAATAGCTTGAAGCGCTTTACACACACCCATTAAAATATATACAAAGTAGAAACACATGTGGACACCATCATTAGAAACAGTTATAGATACTGATAAATTAACTATCTGCCAATAACATGCATGGAAAATTAAATAGTGCCTGTTTTATCACCCATAGAACAAAGCCTGGTTTGGGGTACTACTAGCAGTCCACAGCTAGTTGAGTGGAAGGAGTGAGAGACAGTAAGGAGATAACATTTCTGATATATAGTCAGGAGCATGTCATGTAGGGCCTTATAGGCAAGAAATAGTATTACTTATTAATAATCTGCTGAGGCATGGTAACCAGCGCAAGTATGAGCTATGTTCCTCAAATGAAAGAATGCAGACTGTGTAATTTTGTTAACATATGAGTTAACATGAAAATGTTGTATCCAGGATAATACAGAGATTTCCAACCGGTACAGATAGTAACCCTAGAATTGCTAACAGACAGGGTGACGTGACAAGCGGAGTCAATGATATATTTAGGGCCAGGCTGAATTACTTCGGTTTTTTTTAGAGTTAAGTGTAGGGAAATCGCTATGCATCCATGATTGAATATCCTGCAAGTATATTGAAAGTACTTTTATATAAGTCATTTGTGTATTACATATGTTTCTTAGTGTTTTTATCTTTTTTTGCAGGTAGTCTGTTGTTCACTTGAACTCATTGAGGCACTCATTGAAGGAGCTACATTTTCCCAAGGTAGGTTTAACTTCAGATTCTGCTATTTGCTACAAAGTGTGATAGAAATGACTGTTCTTGTTTGGACTCAGACTGGACATGGACCAAGCTTTAGGGGAACACACTGAGTGATGTCATTCAGATTTTCCATTGACGTACATGCTATGAAGTCCTCTATGGAACAGTGTGGGTTACATTAAACACAGCTCTTGTAACTGCCTCATAGGAAAGTGAAATGATGGAAAGATACATTAAACATCAGTAGTACTACTACTAATAATAAAAGAAATACATTGATGAAACTGCGTTCTCTGTAGTGATGGAGCACCGTCTACTTTAGGGTGGGTTGAAGTGCCGTTTGTGATCCAGAACTGATCATCCAACATCAGTACCTGATTGCACTAATGCTCTTGTGACTGAATGCAATCAAATCTCCACAGCAGTGTTCCAATATCTAGTGTAAAGCCTTCCCAGAAGAGTAGATGCTGTTACTGCAGCAATTATTCATTAATATTAACAATGGATTATTTACATATATTAAATAAATATTGAATATCATCATATACATACTAGGGGTCTCAGTGTACGGTCCTTGAAGGCTAGAATCCAGCACAATTTGATGATTACCCTACTGAAACACATCTGATTCAGCTCATCGGTTATTTACCAGGTTTATCGTGTTTTTGAACTTGGAAATCAACAACTGTGCTGGACTCCGGCCCACCAGAACCAGACTTTGAGACCCCTGCTAAATACAATGTCTCTTTATTTAGAGCTTATATTGCAGTCACCAAGCAAATCCAGGGCATATATCCCAGCATGCCCTCTGACTCTGTGGGGTTATATGGCAGGGTCACAGTGAGGGTCAGACTGGTTGGGCATGTGGCTCGGGGTCCGTAGTGTCTGTGGGTGATGTGGCCTGGCCATGTTTTGTGTCTGGGTGTGAAGCGATAGTTTCCATCGCTGCAGCTGCATCCCCACGTCACTCATATCGACCTGTGCTGCAGAGTGAGAAATGTTCCACACAGCTCTGCTCCAGCCCTCAGATGATCACACACACACACATCACCCCTTCTTTTTCCATCTCCCTGAGGGGTTATGAATGGAGATCATAGGCCTAGTAGTAAGAGAATTTGTGGTTATTTGATTAAAAGGGTGTCCAATTTCATTGTGGTGTTTTACTTAAATGGCGATTTGATTAAGTTGTTTACAGATTGAAATTTAAAAAATGAAATAAATCATTGGCTCTTGTAAGAATAAATTTGACTGAGCATGTGACAGAATGCCAGGACACAAACAACTGATACCGCACCTCAGTGTCTGAGTGGAGCTATAAATTAATAAATACCTGAATGAGTGAATGAATGAATGAATGAATTGTGAGATGTTTGAAAAAGGAACTTTACAGCAGAGGGAAAAACATTCTTAACTATAAACAGAAGTTAATGTAGACAGATAATATTCCAAGTATTTTTGAACCATTTCTGTTGCTCCGTTCATCATTAAAACTTTCACACAACTTAACAGGCAGCGGGTGTTTTCAAAATATGTAAAACCATAAAAAACACAAAAATGGAGATATGAGATTTTGTTCCAACAGTGACAATAAATAAAATCACTGTTTGTTGTATTAATGTTTTTGTATTCATTCTAATGTTACTGTTTTTAGAGCAAATAAACACCCAGTTAAATCGTTTTTTTTTTTAATTATGTGTTGTTGGTTCCTAAGACTTTTGCACAATACTGTACATCATAAAAAGTTGTCCAATTTGTGCAGTGAAACTGTACGTAATAAATGGAAGTTAAAGTTTACACGCTTTGTTTTTTATTATTCTGAACAATTCAAGAACTTTCTCACTGAGATATGTGGATACTATTTGTTTAAAATTATAGATATTTAAGAACAGAAATGGTTGAAATCTCTACCTCAACTAGTAATGACAGAGGTGAGGATGTTCCTCCCAGTATGCGAGTTTTTGGAAGCAGTTTTGCTGATTGAGTGGGTCAATAGAGGCGTGGTCAGGTGGCAGTGCCCAGCACTTCCACTCTCATGCTGTCACCCAGCTGCATTGTCATAACCATCTACATAGGTACTATTTTCTTATGCAAACAGAGGAACAATAGAGCTTTCTTTGATAGTCCTAGATATCTAGAATAGCTGTAGAGATTAGCCAGGTGTGAGGTGCAGTCTCCAAAGTACTCCAAAGTACTGGGCCATTATTTTATTTTTGCAGTCTAACTAAATTACACTGAAATACCCAACAGGAAAGTAGTAACCAGGGGAATGTGTGGTACAAACTTCAAAGTTTATAGTTGTTCAAAGTTGTAATAAATTCTTTTGGATAAAATAATGGTAAATACCAAGATGAAATTCCTTACATTTTCTAGCTGTGAAGCTAAAAGTTGCTCAAATACTTTATAATTGAGTAATTACTTTGTGTAACAGGGTGAGCACAAATGTGTCTCACTGTAATTGTTTCTTGGGAAACATAAATGAGGAAAGCCTCCAAGTACTAAGGAATTCTTTGGAGTTTGTTCCTCACACTTACCTGGTTAACATCTAGACCTTAGTGGACTGTCAAGGAAGGCATTACCCAGAGGAGCCACCCCTCTATTTTGGAGCCCACAGTGTATTAGACAGCAGTTATACAATGTGTCTCTCTCTCTCTCTCTCTCTCTCTCTCTATCTCTATCTCTCCCTCTCTCATTCACTGTAGGCCATTATTGTTCTTCTTATTAGCTGATTTTAACATCACTCTTCTGTCTTTTATTTCATCATACAGTAGGGTGCTTTCAGTGCTTCTCTCTGTCAGTCTGTCACATATAAAGTTCAATTTAAACCCTACGCAATACTAGAAGAGGTTAGTGGAGGAGGACCTACTGACAGTAGTCTTTCTTCTCCTCTGCTTAATGGTAGCCAGAGTGTAGAATCTCCCTCAACAAACGGTCAACAGGCTGGGATTTTTTCTTCTTTACCCAACTTAGCACATGTTCATGCATGATTGAAAGAGTTCTGCTTGCTGTATTTCTGTATGGGTCTTGTATGGCTTTCTGTATGGTCTGAGTGTTGATGCAGTGTTTGGCATAATGAATTCTTGAGGAATGTTCTGCTGCTCTGTGTGCGTGAGGAGGATTTCTGTTTCTTTAGGGGATATGTAGCACTTTGATGCTTACTTCAAATACACTTTCTGATACTAAGCGGCATCAGCATTTTTGGCAGGGTGGAAGGAGTTCTGGTGAGGGTGCACAGATATGGAATTTCAGGGGTCATATGATAACACTTTGTGGCTTAAAGCCACAGACCAGAGATTTATGATTGATTAATTATTCATAGCCATGACTAAATCAGGCATGACCATTATTGTAAACATCTACATTATCATATGTAAATATTTTGCATTATTTGAAAGACTTCCAGAGCCACAATGATAAATGAATATGGAGTTATTGGTAATGCAGTATGTGTGTATACTCTTATTAATATAGCAGTGGCATTCCTGCCTGAATAGGGAATCAAACCTCAGTCTCTTGTGTGTGGTTTGGATGTCATCCACTGTTTAACCCTCTCAAACTGAGCGTCCCTTTGGGGATCCGCTCTGAGATTTTGATTTAACTTGTTTTTATCTGCTAGTAAAGGAGTTGTGTGTGTGCACATACTGTGTATGGTATAATGGATCATGTGTGTAGAATCGCTTCTATCCATGTGCTACAGGGTTTTCTGTCATTGTATAAAATATACACAGGGCTTCCTTTATCGTTGGATGTACTGTGACTTTTTTCGTGTGAGTGCACGAGCACGTTCAGTGCACAGTTCGGTTCGGTAAGAACTTATTATTATTATTTTTTAATCAGTGTAACGATAAAACGCAAATCTTATTCATGCATTGTCTAGTTCATAAAGGAACTTTGTAACACAAATCTAGTAGAAAATAGATGAATCAGTAGAAACACAAATCAGTAGAAAATCTATGAAATTTCAGCTTAGATACATTATATAACTAATAAGGGTAATTTAACAAATTAAAGCAAAAACAGCACTTATAAATCAAGTAATTAACAGAGAAGATCAGAATGATATTTATGTTAGCCATGTTTTTGTGTCTGTCCTAAAGTGGCAAAAAAATAAATAAATAAAATAAAATGACCAGCACTTGTGAGTGTATGTGGATCAGTGCTTGTGCCACTGAGAATAGGGGCTAAATTACTGTTTGTTATTACTGGCTATAATTCCAGTGTTGGGCTGATTAAAAAAAAAAGACAAAAAAACAAACAAACAAGAAACTTAAATTTACCCGCTTTTTATTAATATTATATTGGCTCCTACTATATCAAGCAATGTTACATTCTGGCACATCTTTCCTTATATCTATTCATCCATTTATTCATATAAAAACATACAGTAATCATTGAATTCTCCTGTAATTTATTTCTGAACAACATACTAGCAGGGGCTTTGAAAGTCAGCATGCACTGGGTACACACACCTGCTCCTCTGCTCAGCGTGAGTGGAAAGAGAGGGGAACGCAGAATGCACCGCTCAGCGGGAACACTGGGCCAGCCTCCTCTTGGGGACCTCTGTCAACCCAATTCACTTCACAGCCAGATTTTCAAATCTCAGTACATGCTTTTCCTGCTCCCGCATTTCTTCTTTCTCTGTTCAGTGATGATGCCATATTGATACTTCTGTATTAACTGTAACTGTTTGCTTTGATCAGATGCAGCGTTCAGTTGCTAAAACTTGCTTCCTCATTTGCTCTGCAACTGAAAAGTGCTGAACAGGAATCTTTACATCAGCAGTGATTAGGGCTGCATAATGAATGGCTCTTCTACTGAAATCATGGCCTGCAATTACTTAATTGCAAAACGCAGCTGTTAAAGAATTGAGTTTGCAGTGTGAGTCTTCAGCAAACAAACACATAGAAAATGCTATTATCTAGTCTAGTTATTCTCTGTTGTAGCATATTTGCCTAACAAAGGCAAGTGCTGAAACTCAGAATGCCTTTGTTCCTTTGAAATTGCGT